GGCCCCAAGAGGTTCCCAGAATTCCTCAAGTTCAGCATTGTGGGCCGCCCTGATTCCATCTATGCACATATCCGCCACCGTACCACTGGGCTAGAGGAACGAAAAATTACATAAACATAACAACTCGGAGCTCCGCGCGGATTTCTTGGATCCGCGCCGGGGCCCCCTAGCGGCGCCTCCGGCGCCGCCCCTGGCGCGCTCCGCGCGCCAGGGAGGGGGCTCCGGCGCGGATCCAAGAAATCCGCGCGGACCTCCGAGTTTTTATGTCTATGCCATGTTTCGCTCCCCTATGGGCACAGAGTGGGCGTGCACTCAGGTGCTTTTAGGGGGCCACCCCCTCACGGGAGCTCCCGAGCGAAGTGAACCCCACCCTCCCCCTCAGAAATCGTGGGGGGTAGGGGTAGGGTTCGCATGTGGCCCCCTAGCTTTGCCTCAGCCCCGGAGCCTCCAGCCCTCGGCCCCGAAGCGGCTTTGGAAGGGCCCCGGAGCCCGAATTTGGCCAACCCTCTCGGGGGGCCTCGCGCGTGCCCCTCTGGGGGCTCCCCGCGGCCCGCCGCGCGGCTTCCGTCGGCCCCGCGGGGGCGCCACACGACGGGCCAAGGGAGCCCCCTCCAGGACGGTCCAAGATGATCCCGAGGCGCCGGAAAAGATCGGCCCCCGACGCCCCATAGACCCGCGAGACGGCCCGAGAGGCCGCCAAGACAGCCCGAGGGAGCCCCGAGAGGGGGCCCGAGAGAGCCCCGAGAGGCAGACACCATTGTTTGTCCTCAGGTTTTGGAAGGATTTGGGCGTTGTCGCCTTCTTGGCTCCCCGACGCTCGCAGGCGGCCCTGGAGGCCCCCAAGACCAAGACGGCCCAAGAGGCCTCCAAGAGGGCCCCCAAGAGGCCCAAGAGGGTCCCAAAACAGGCCAAGAGGCGCCCAAAATGGCCCAAGAGAGCCCCAAGCCTACCGCAAAAGGGGCCCGACAGAGGGAGCCCGAACCGAAAATCCTAGCCTTCCGCCGAAAGAAACCCCCAGGAGGCCCCCAGAGGCGCCCAGGCGGCCCCAAGAGGCCCCAAGAGACCCCAAAGGGGCCCCCCAAAGGCCCAAAAGAGGTCCCACGAGGCCTCCAAACGGCCCCCACGAGGCCTCCAAACTGCCTCCAAGAGGCCCCCGAGAAGCCTCCCACGAGATCCGAACGAACAACCAATAAGCTTCATACCCACACCCCAGGCACGGTGGCGGGATGGGCCGGAGGCCATCCGCCGCCCTCTGTCGATTCATCGCAAGGGTGCCTGGCGTGCTGGATCCTTTCGGTTCTGGTTTTGGTTCTTGTTCCACAAGAACTCTCCCCTGGGGCTTGGGCCCGTCCCGCCGGGGTCCCGGGAGGCTCTTCCAGGAGCGCAAACTTCACAAAACATCCTCCCTGAAGCGGCCGTTTCGGTTGGGACATCCTCACACAATCGCGAAGATGACCCAAGATGGCGGCCTCCAAGTCCGCCCCAGATGGTCCAAGACGGCCTCCAAGACGGCCCAAGAGAGTCCAAGACGGCCCAAGAGGCCTCCAAGAGGTCCTCCAGGAGGGCCCGACGAGGCCGAAATCATTGTTTTGCCGTTGGTTTTTGAAGTATTTTGGAATTTGCTTCTTCTCGGCTTTCCGACTGCTCAAGACGGCCCAAGAAGCATCCAAGTTCGCCCAAGAGGCCCCCAAGAGGACCCCATGACGGCCCAAGTGGCCCCCAAGACGGCCCCAAGAGGGCCCCAAGACGGCCCAAGAGGCCTCCAAGAGGTCCTCCAGGAGGGCCCGACGAGGCCGAAATCATTGTTTTGCCGTTGGTTTTTGAAGTATTTTGGAATTTGCTTCTTCTCGGCTTTCCGACTGCTCAAGACGGCCCAAGAAGCATCCAAGTTCGCCCAAGAGGCCCCCAAGAGGACCCCATGACGGCCCAAGTGGCCCCCAAGACGGCCCCAAGAGGGCCCCAAGACGGCCCAAGAGGCCTCCAACACGCCCAAGATGGCCTCCGAGACGCCAAGATGGCCTCCAAGACGGCCCCGAAGGGCCCCAAGAGGGCCCCCAGTCGGCCCAGAAAGGCCCTCAAGACGGTTCCCAACGGCGTCAGACGTGCCAGGAACCCACCAGGATGGCCGAAGTTGGCTCGAAGCTGGCCCAAGACGACCCACGAGGCCCCTAAGAGGGCCTCCAGGAAGGCCAGAAGAGGCCAGAAACCTTGCTGTTCCTAAGGCTTTTTTTTTTTTTACGGATTTAGACATTTCCTTCTTTTCGGCCTTCCGACGGCCCGAGACGGCCCCAGAGCCCCCAAAGATCGCCGAAAGATCGCCCAAGAGGCCTCCAAGGTGGCCCCACAACGGCCAAAGAGGGCCCCAAGACGGCCCCAAGAGGCCTCCAAGACGGCACAGGAGGCCTTTAAGACGCCCAAGATGGCTTCCAAGACGGCCCTGGAGCATTCCAAGAAAGCCCCAAGTCGGCCCATAGAGGCCCCCCAAACGGCCTCCGACGGCGTCAGACGGACCAGGAGCCCACCAAGACGGCCGAACATGGCCCTAAGATGGCCCCAGACGGCCCAATAAGCCTCCAAGAGGGCCTCCAGGAAGGCCCGAAAAAGCCAAATTCATTGATTTCCCATGGGTTTTTGAACGATTGTGGCATTTGCTTGTTTTCTGCCTTCCGACGGCCCGAGACGGCCCAAGTGCCCCCAAAGATCGCCGAAGAGGCCCAAGACACGGCCCAAAGAGGCCCCCAAGACGGCCCAAGAGGTCTCCAAGACGCTCAAGATGGCCTCCACGACGGTCCAAGAGCCCTCCAAGACGTCCTCCAAGAAGGCCCGAAAGGGTCCAAATGGCCTCCAGACGGCCAAGATGACGGTCACATAGGCGCTTCCAAAAAGGCAGGGGGCGGCGGTGATTCGCCGTGGGCGTCTTCGATTCTATGCGTGTGTATCCGCTGCCCCCTGTCTTACCACAAGGGTGCCCGGCGTGCTGGATCCTTTCGATTTGGTTTTGGCTCTTTTTCCAAAAGAACTCCCCCTGGGGCGTCGGCCCGTCCCGCCGGCCACCAGGAAGGGCGCGCAGAGATACATAAAAGGTGGTTGCAAATGGTTTTTCGGCTCTAGACGGCTCCAAGATGGCCAAGATGGCCTCCAAGTTCGCCCAAGATAGTCCAAGATGGCCTCGAAGACAGCCCAAGAGAGTCCAGGATGCCTCCAAGTTCGCACAAGAAACACCTAAGACGGCCCAATACGGCCCCAGAGGCCTCCAAGAGGCCTCCAAGGCGGCCCAAGAGGCCTCGAAGAGGTCCTCCAGGGTCCTCAAGGACAGTCCGAAGAGGTCACAATCATTGATTGCCCATATGTGTTTGAACTATTTTGGCTTTTGCTCCTTTTCGGATCCGACGGCCCAAGAGTGCCCAAGAGGCCATCAAGATCGCCCCGAGAGTGCCCAAGAATCCTCCGAGGCCCCCAAGACGGCCCCAAGAAGGCCCCAAGAAGGCCCCAAGAGGGCCCCAGATGGCCTCCAGGACGGCCAAGATGGCCTCTAAGATGCCTCCAAGACGGCCAAGATGGCCGTCAAGACGGCTAACATGGCCCGAAGATGCACCCAAGACGGCCCAAGATGGCCTCAAGATGGCCTGAGACAGCCCTACAAGCCCGCAAGAGGACTTCAAGACGGCCCAAGAGCCCTCCAAGACGTCCCCCAGGAAGACCCGACAGGGTTAAAATTATTGATTGTCCTTAGGTGTTTGAAGGACTTTGGCTCTTGCTACTTTTCAGCTCTCCGACGGCCCAAGACGGCCCAAGCGGCCCCCAACATCGACCCCAGAGCGCCCAAGAGGCCTTCAAGATGGCTACATGACAACCCAAGAGGACCCCAAGAGGGCCCCAACAAGGCCCCAAGACGACCCAAGAGGTCCCCAAGACGCCCAAGATGGCCTCCAAGACGGCCAAGATGGCCTCGAACATGCATCCAAGACGCCCAAGATGACCGTCAAGACGGTAAGATGGCCCGAAGATGCACCCAAGATGGCCCAAGATGGCCTCAAGATGGCCTAAGACGGCCCTACAAGCCCGCCAGAGGCTTGCAAGACGGCCCAAGAGCCCTCCGAGACGTCCTCCAGGAAGGCTCGACAGGGTTAAACTTATTGATTGTCCTTAGGTGCTTGAAGGACTTTGGCTCTTGCTCCTTTTCAGCTCTCCGACGGCCCAAGACGGCCCAAGCGGCCCTCAACATCGACCCAAGAGCGCCCAAGAGGCCTCCACGATGGCCCCATGACAGCCCACGAGGCCCCCAAGAGGACCGCAACAGAGCCATAAGACGGCCCAAGAGGTCCCCAAGATGCCCAAGATGGCTTCCAAGACGGCCACTAAGGTCTTCAAAATGCCTACAAGACGGCCAAGACGGCCTTCAAGACAGCGAAGCTGGCCCCAAGATGCACCCAAGATGCACCCAAGATGGCCCCAGATGGCCTGAAGATGGCCTTCGACTGCCCAAAAGGCCCGCCAGAGGCCTGCAAGACGGCCCAAGACCCCTCCAAGATGTCCTCCAGGAGGCCCGGAAGCTCGGAAACCACCTGGTCCGATAGCTCGCCCGACTCGGTGTTCCCCGAAGGCGTTCGAAACCCACTTGGGGAACGCGTGGCCCGATAGCTTGGCCAAGCTCAAACCCAACTTTCGGCCACGCAGGCGCTTCCAAAAAGGCAGAGGGCAGCGGTGACTCGCCGTAGGCGTCTTCGATCTACCTGTATATATATATATATATATATGTGTGTGTATACACGGCCATCCTCAACAGAAGTCCCCTGGCATAATTTCTGAACGGTCTGGAACGGACACGCGAAACATCACTACTTCTCGGGGAGCCGAGGCAAAGGCACACACTGAAAGAAAACAGCACGACACCATCTAACGTCATCAAACCGATCCAAGGGCACTGGAACCACACTGAAATTCAAAACGGAAGAACTGAAACGACACGGAGCGATGTCAGGGACGTCTGAGAGCACAGCCTGCAGAAGTGGGATGATCTGGTCCAGAGAGGCAGTCAAGTTATCCTTGGACCTGCGCGTGCGGTTGTTCTTGCGCCACTTCGGCCTGCCCTCCACCATCACCTCGATCATGTCCTCTAACTCAGAATTCACGTCGAGCTCCGAGCCATCTCCGACTTCGTCTTCAAGCGCATCCCCACGCTCAAGCAGGCCCAGGCGCCCTGATTCCACCTCAAGTTCTCCCCATCTGCGGACGTCTGTAGACAGCGCTGACCCAATCACGGCGAGACACGCAAGGACGCCCGCTCGTGCCATCCCGAAACAAATCCAATATTATGCAAACAGGTGTATAACAGTTCGATGAATATGCAAATCCCAAAGTCGAACCAGCCTGGCTCGAGCCAAGAAGCTGCGAAACGAGGGGCTGTATGTATGGGAGGTGGGAGGAAGGAGGGGAGACGGGAGAAGGAAGCATGACAGGGATGAGGAAGGTGAGGAGGAAGAGTCGTCGACGTGGAGGGTGCGGAGGAGGATGCAGACGAGAAGAACGAAGACGCTGAGGCGGACGAGGCGGGCAAGGCTGACAAGGGGTGAAAAGGAGGCCGGAAGATGGGGCGGAGGAGAACGAAGGGTACAGGATGAGGGCGAGGAGGCGCAGGACTGATTTATGAATTGAAGGAAGGAGGGGAGGGGCAGATTGCGGGGAGGAGGGAGGGAGTCCTCGGATGGAGAGGAGAGGGGGGAAACACAGAGGAAAGAGAGATAGAGGGGGACGCGGGGCGGACGGAGGGTGGGTGATGGAGGCAGGAAGAGGAAGGGAGGGAACGGCAGGGAGGGAAATAGAGAAATCCATGGCTAGGAGCGCCCGAAGGTACCTGCCAGGACTCTTCCCAGGCTGGCTGGCGCACCCGAAGGTACCTACCAGGACGCCCCCCTCGGAGCGCCCGAATGTATCTGGGTGCCACCAGTTCGGCTCTGGAGCTTCACCTCGCAAGTGATTGGCACGCGCGAGTCAGCACATGTGTTCCAACACTGGCGGCGGCCGTTGCTGGGCAGGTGACAGCTTGCTTCAAGCGGACGACGTCCGCGGCGACACCAGCAGAATCCCATTCAACATGGGCAGGACACCTGCTGCTGGTTCCCATCGCCCACCGCTCCAACAGCCCAACGGGGGTCTGTACCGAAGCTCCCCTTCTTTGCCAACCGCCCAAGTTTAGTTGGGGGAAACACTAGTGGAAAGGGGGCGGTATCGCCTGCGACCATCTTCCGTCGACTGTCGATACACCGACTCCGAGCGATGCCCAGGGGGGAGCGAGACGGGAACTTCCAGCGCTCCTCCGAGGGAGAGCCCGCTGTGCAGACTTGAAGGCTCGCGGGGCGTCGTGGACAAGCGGGGAAAACTCCCATCGGGTGTGGGCTTTCCCCGCTCTTCCGTGTGTAAAGTGGCACCGTACACACTGAGAATGAAGGGGCCCTGGGACACGCAAATAAATACACACAAATAAAACAAATCCCTCATATTGCCGCATATTTTCTGGGTTTTTGTCTTCCCCCACTGCCCATCTTTTCCCATATTTTCTGGGGAATCGACGATTCCTTGTGTCTATGTGTTTTTTCCTTCCTGAGTAAAGTGGCACCGTACACGCTGAGAAAAGGAAACGCAGCTTGTGGATTGGAGCCGGACGGCAAGGCCGACGCGGGCGACAAGCACTCCCACCGGGCACTCGCAGTCGGACAAATGTGAAGGGGCCCTGGGACACACAAATAAATGCACACAGATAAAACGATGTCCCATATTCTCCCATATTTTCGGTGATTTTGTCTTCCCCCCCACTTCCCATCTCTTCCCATATGTTCCGGGGAATCGACGATTAGTTGTGTCTGTGTGTTTCTTTCCCTCCTGAAAATGCGTAGACTAGAACCAGGAAAAACTGGATGAGCACAAACTGTTGGCGCTCCGCGCGGAGCGCCGAAAGTTTGTGTTCACGCAGTTGTTTCTGCTTCGACCCTCGCAGTGGGACGACTGCGTTGACGGCAGTCCCGATGGACCGTGCGACAGCCGTGCGAACATCGGGCCACGAAGGGCAGAGTCATGGGCCCGGCTGGCGCAGCTGGGGCAGCCGGCGCTCAGGCCGCGCCCGCGCCTTCGATGCGCGGCGCGACCCCATGAGGGCTCCAGCGGTGGTTTTGGTGGGTCTTGCGACATTGCAGGGTCGTCCACCTGCGGGCAATTTTGGCGAGTGGGTGATGCATGATGAAGTTTGTAAGCCATCCCTGCGCATGGAGCCGGCGACGCAGGCGGCTTCGCATCGCCGGTCGGTGTTGTTCCACCCCCCTTTTGCCAATGCACCTCTGACGTGCACGGCTTCTCTCTCTCTCTCTCTCTGCAGCACTGCTGGAACTGTGAGCACGTTGCCGGATCTTGGAAGCGGCCGGGAGGTCTGCGCTGGATGGGCACCGAGAAAAGCAGCCAAAGGGGGAGGGCGAGGGCAAATCCGCTCCAAGTCGGCTCCTGCACCCCTCCCAACGTCGAAGCCAACAGGTGTTTCGAGCCGCGTCCGAGGAGGGGGCCAGTGCTGGGCCGCCTTAGCCCCCCCCCTCTCCCTCAGCCGTCCTGCTTTTCTTCGTCGGGGACGTCCACGAGGGGGGCGTCCAAGAGGGGAGTGCGCAAATCATGGCCGGCGGCATGTGCGCGGCCCAGGGGTGGGCCGGGGACAGATTGAAACAAGCAGGGGCGCCATGAGATTTGGGGAGATCTCATGGCCCCCAGCATGATATCCACCCCCCCTAGCCATCACCGGGCCATCAGCCCCCTCTTGGCCGCCCCCGACTCTTCATGGAGACCTCGCGGTTGTGCCGGGCAGCCGCCATTCGGCGCAGGCGTCCAGCCCCACAGTGCGCGTCGCGCGGTTGTCTCTTCGCGCCCTCGCGGGCTTCAGGCATGACGAGCACCACGTCGTCGCCGGAGCGTGCGAGACGCCGCGGAGGCTGGGCTTCGGCAGGGTAGCTCGGACCAGGAAGCGGGTGCCTGGGGCCAGTGGGCGCTGCAAGGTGCCAGAGACGAGATACCGATACAAACAGCGTCGGGCACGACAAGCTCTGCCGTCCCTACAGGCTGGCGGTTCTGGACGACGTGTGACGCGCCACGGCCGCGCCAGAATGCTCTGGCAGCTCTGAGAGCGCACCGAGACCATCTGCCAGAATATACTGGATGAGGAAGACTTGCCAGCTGACCTGCCCTGATACGCAACACGCAACACGTAGCGTATTGATACGAAGCTCAACACGTAGACTGAACACGTGCGTTTGGCGCAATACGTTCACCACAACGTGGGCCAACACGTTGAACCAACACGCAACGTGCTAATACGGACGTTTTGAACACGGCACGTGTTGCGTTTCAAAACGTGCGTATCAGAGCAGCTAAGTACATGAGACCTACCGCGTGGACGCTCCCCGCACATCTCAACTCACTCCTCCGCCATTGCGCGGGCTGGATCGAGGGACACAGAGTGGCAACCTGCAGCTGAACAACAACTCGTCGACCGATCAGATCGGGCGGTTGTCATCAAACCTCGATCGAAGCACGTTACGTTCCGTCGTTCTTCTCGTCGCACCTCCTCCTCCCCCTCCACCACCTCCTCCTCCTCCTCGTGCTGCTCCTGTCTCACGGGCTAGCGCAGCGACGCTTCAATGAGACAGTCTTCTTGTTTCCTGTCCCCGCCTCTGCCTCCGCCTCCGTTTCCGCCGCCTGAACCTCCACATTAGCCCCTTTCACAGACGCAACCGCCCCTTCCTCACGCTCGCCCTCTTCTTCCCATATCTCATCCTGCTGCTCCACTTGTCCTTCCTACCCTCCGGCCAGCCGGGGCAATGTCCGGAGAGTATCTTCAATGACCCCCTCGATGAGATCCTGGCATGCGTACGCGCGGTCGGCGAGGCCGCAACATCTGCTGGCATGGCGACGTCGCCGACGTCGGCACGACCACGACGGCGGCCACGACAACAAAAAGAGAGGACCCTGCAGACACGCATGCGTGCCATGCTGCTTCGCTCGCAGGGAGGAGTGAACCAGGACTGTATTGCTACGCAGACCCTGACGCACCACGGTTACCATGCGAAACCCAAGCATGCCATGGCCAGCTCTGGTTCTGTCTTCCATCCAGCGGTGCCAGCCTTCAGGGCCTCGTCCCGATCCTTGGCCTCGGGATTCGCGCAGCTTGCGACGTAGGATTGGAAGAAGAAGGCACTTCAAGGATACTTAGCGACGGACAGCAAGTTTCACTCTCGCAGGCTTGAGCAAGAGGGCGCAAGAACGGAAGAGCAACGCGAACAAGACAAGGCCGTGCTCCAAAGGTCACGGCACCGATGATGCAATCTCTCCGCGCAGAACAAGAAGAACAATCACTTGCCGTCGCTCGGACGTCCATTTCCCGTGCATGTTTCGGTTTCGTGCGTGTTTTGTTGCTCGATGGTCCGGGATGCTCCTCCAGGGTCCTCGCCGAGAAAGAATGCACACGTCCGAGCGATGCCAAGATCACATTACACAAAATGGATGCGCCGCATGAAGCCGCGCGGGCCCTCGATGGCATCGCACGGGTTACATCGGAGCACATGCTAACGATAAGCGGTACACGCAGAATGCCCGAATCTATGCTTGCAGAGCGAACGGCCGTCGCGATCGTCCACCCCGCCTGCTCACTCCAGCCTCTCCGTCCACCTCTTCGCCCAGCCCACCATCCCTCCCCACCTTTCTGCATCCCTCCCTGCCCACGCTCCCTCCCTGTGTCACTGCCTCCCTTCCTCGTTCCCTCTCTCTCTCTCTCTCTTTCTGTCCCCATCCCTTGGCTTCGTCCCGTCACCACTCCGTCCCTCCCGACTTTCGTTTCGGCTTGCAAAATCTCTGATCGTTCTGCTCGACCTGCTGCTTCTGCTATGGCCCTCCCTTCGTCAACTCCACCCCTCTTATCTTTTCCTTCCTCCTTCCATTCGTCCTTCCCTCGCGTAGCCCCTCCATCTGTGATTCCCTCCCCCAATTCTGTGCCCATCTCTCCACACACCCTTCCCCCTTCCCCCACTCTGTGCCACCTGCCGACCCTCCTTTGCTCAGTCACTCCGTCCCTCTCGCCCTTCCCTCCCTCTGCCCCCTCTCTGCTCCCTTCCTGTGCTACCTCCGCTCTCTGCCTCCCTCCCCCCCTACACACACAAGACACGAATGCGGCTCCTATCTCTCCCCCGACTCTGTCTGGAAGATCGGCCCTTTCAGCAAGCGCACTGCTGTTCTACACGCAGGTATTGACGATCCGGTTGTTTTCGGTGTTTCAAATAGGTCTTCCCGCTGCAGCGCGGGCCGCATTCCTGGATCAAAATACTTGTTCATCGTTGTCGCCCCCTCATTTCCCCTCATCCGC